TTGTCGGCTATTTTTGCATTACTACGGCCCGCTTGCGTGTGAATCTACATTTGGTCCATAAGTACCGATCATGTTTACATACATAGCAATGCACAGAACGAAGAGGTGTATATTTGAATACTAGCTTTTTCTCGCGACTCCACCTACGTAGTTTCTTTATGTATGATTGCTCTTAAGGGTAATAACCTTAAGTTGAATAGGCCATAGCCTAAAAATAACTTTCCGCAACAAATAGACTACAAAATACGAAGGTATTTATTCAAATTTGACTGACTTAACTAAAGAAACATTAAACAAATTCTTTAGTTTTATAATTCTCAAAGAGAGACTGGAAGATTTAAATTATAATATAAAAACAATTTTTTTAGATCAAACAATAATGTCTTAAAGTAATATACAAACGACAATTTGTATATTGAGTGATAAATAAATAAATGTTAATAAATAAAAATAGATAACGGAATTTATTATAATAAAGAAAAAAATAATCTAATATTATGTTAACTCTCTTTTGAGGAATAGAACTAATGCTTCAATTTTTTTTAAAACAAACTTTTATTTAAATGCTCTAAAAATGAGAAAATAAATGTTAAATTAAATTAAACCCATCAATTTGTTACATTACACAATTTATATGATATAAAAGCTTGTTAGGAGATTTACCTATTTTATAAAAAACATATTATTTTTTGATATTTTGTTTCCTGTTTATCTACACAGGCTCAATAATAATTATGGTCGAATTATAGATCACTGGGCGAACACCAGTATAAAGAAAAGCATGAGGAATGATACGCACAGTACCATTTATGTCCATGGTAGGCTACGAGGCTTGTGTTATGGATACCAGATAGTTGATACACTACATATGTATTACTTTAAATATATACATATTATAAATATAAACACACATTACTTTAGTACAAGAATTCGTGCTCATTACACAAATGAATTCCCCCAGCGGGACTCGAACACGCGACCACTGGCACCGCAAGTAGGAAACCAACAAACTGAGCCAAACGTGTCGTCAAAGATATTTAATAACTGACTACATATAACTCCCTCTGGGATAATTTCACTTACTAACCTACTTATTAAATCTCAAACGTATAGCGCAATATTACGAATGTTTATTAATAATTATATTTATTGACAAATGTATATATTACTACGTAATGATATTTTTTATACCTTAAATATGGTTGGTAGGTGTTTATATCTGACTACAACCTACTTGACTTCAAGATCTATATAATGCACATAATTTTTAATCGCTATGTAAATTAATTTTTTTTTTTAATTATAGTTTAATTATTTATATCATTTTATTGTCATATTTTCGTAGTTTTAATAATATCTATACATGCAAAGGTAAAATAATTCAAAACCTTTTTTTTCAGTTGACCAAATTTCTTGTATCTTGTCGAACAAAAATGTTTGAGACAGTTACTTTTTTATATAGATAAGTAAAGACAAAATATTCCTAGTACCTTTTCTCCTTTGTCTGTCGAGCGATTTTCTTTTTTTTATTTAGGGGCTATTGACCAATTTCAGTGTTATCAATAAAAAAATGATTATGTTCGAATTTCGACCACTGGGTGAATACTAATATGTTGGGACATTAACACACAGCACCATCTAGTTCCATGGTAAGCTACGAGGCTTGTGTTATGGGTACCAGATAGTTGATACACTACACATATGTAACTTTAAATAAATACATATTATAAATATAAACTCCTATGACTGATGACTGACTATGAGTACAAACATTCGTGCTCATCACACAAATAAATGCCCCCAGCGGGACTCGAACCCGCGACCGCTAACACAGAAAGTAGAGTCACTACAAACTAAGTCAAACGTGTTGTCAAGAATAAACTAATAATCATAATTTATTTATACATATTATATAATATAAAATGGTAAGTGAGTCGAATCTGTATTTTAAATATTTTTTGGAAAATCTTATTGAAATAGTCTTATTGTCTGTATATATATCTATCTGTCTGGGAACGCATCACGAGAAAACTACTGGACAAACTTTGATTAAATTTTGTACAATGATAGATGGTTATCTGGGTCAACATATTTTGACTGCGAGTATATCTCATCTCTGAGAAATCACTAAAGTCTAAACGCCACTAGGGACGAACCCGAGCTGAGCCAGGGTGAGTCGCTAGTTTACTTATAGGTAATTTAATTTTTTTTATAATGTTTCAGCGTGATTATTAAAAAAATCTCCATTTCTCTATAATTAATCTGAGGCTGACATTACAAGTATATGTTCTGTTTATTAGCGCTAGTTATATAAAAGTTATTCCGTCAGGCTATTTTATTTACTTTTTTAATTTCCTCGTTAAAGTTTGTAATAAAATGTTTTACTTGCAAAGCAAACCGTAGTTTCATATTTGTGGGTAGTCCTACTCATAGGTACATTATATAAGAAGATATCGTTTGAATTTCGTCTCAAAACATCATCCGGTTTGGAACAGCTTTCAAGCATTAATTGTTGCTTTACGATGCCCATTAATAGTTCCATATTTTATTAACTCTTGTAAAATAATTTAAAATTGAAATTTGTGTATTATGAAAGTTGTTCCTAACTTTACTTTTTAAGTAACTTGAATAATTTAAAAATTGTAGCCTGGACGATACTTACTACTCCATAATATTAAACGCTTAAAGCGTTTAATATGACTATGCAAAGTATGTTATATAACATCGTACTTAAAGCTGCTACAGCTTTTACGTACATATAAAAAAGCAGCAAAAGACGGTAAAACAACTTGCTTGTCTGTCGTCAAGAGGTTGAGACTATCTGCTGTACTCAAACCCCTTCTATTGTAAGAAATTATTAAGGATACGAGTGATTTGTACTAGATTTTTTATAATGGTACGGACGATAAGGATATTTCTTCATGATTTAATAGAATGCTTTTTAGTAGCCAAAAGAGAATCTTAAACATTGGATTTGAAGGTATTTGGCCGTACTTAATTGTCCAAATAGTTCCTGGCGTTGTTTCTTTTTTTTATATATATAAAATAATATAAGCAATATATATATATATATATGTATATATATGTATAGTCTCTTGTCATCCACTGAATAGGTTTTATGATGGGATATTAAAGCAAGTATGCATTTATTATAAATTAATAATAAATAATAAATATGTAAAGTTTACTAAAATTAACAACCAAATTACTTATTAAAAATAATATCCTCATTAGTAAAGGGCTCTTTACATGTATACCAATTTGTTCACCTAAAATCCTACGAAACTTTTAAGTTTTGAGTAATGTTTGAAAACAAAATTTCTAAAACCCATTCTAGACATGTTTGTTATTAGAAAAAAATCAGTCGCGTAAATATATTTACAAAGCAAAATTTAAGTAATAATTTCAGTATTTAGTTTACACGCGCAGGAAGATTTAAATTTCTATTTTTATATTTTTATTAAATCAACTTCAACCCCTGATAATTATGAATGTAAAAAAAACTTCTTTCTCTAATTTTTACAATTTTACCTACGATAAAAAGTAATTTTAAAGAAGGTGGCTAATAAAATACAACAAATAATGTTTAATTACATAAAATATCTAATTAAAATATAACACTAATGTGTTACACGTTTCTGTTCTGTGTTATTAAACACAGAACAGAAACGTGTAAGAACCATAACCCGCGAATAAATAAAACTATCTTTCCGGATTTTTTCATGGATTTATTTTAATTTTTGGTTCCTGACGTTACTGCAAAATCGAATTTATCCGCGTTTTATTTAAAATATAATAATAATATTATTTAAAATGACAAATGTTCGCGTGAATCTAAAAAAGTATTATCTGATTCAAAATAATTACAACAGCAAGAATATAGACGTCAAATACCTGTGATTGAATCAATAAATGTTTATTTGATTAAATAACAATTAACCAATAGGTCATACATAAAAGCATATTATCATTAAAATAGACTATAAAAGAAAATTTGGCACGTTAATGGCACCCTAATCCAATGTTTATTTTAAAAACAATAAGGTAATGAAACAAGAGTAAAAAATTCGACGACTTAATTATATAACAACAAATATTATTAATACAGGTGTGAATAAAAAATTATACATCAAAAATGTATTTTGAAAGAAAATATGTTTTTAAAATTTTATTTCTAAGAAATTATAATTTAAAGCTTATTATGAATTTGTTGCACTGATATTATTGAGTTGATATTTTAGACAATGATTTCATAGGCTTTCATAGGCAATGTACTACATTCTAGGTATTTTTTAATATATTATTGGTGCAGTTTAATTATAATTTTGTTATATAATATAGATTAAAAATTGAAAATTATATAAATAGTTAACAGGACTTACACTACACTAAAAAGGTGAAATTGAGACTGCACCAAGTTAAATAAGTGATAAGTAAACCATATAACACGCATACAATTGGACATACCATAATTTTCCTTTAATATTTAAGAACAAGACCTCAATAAATTATTACCGTTTTTTAAAGATTCCTTGAATTTTTATTAATAATATTGCTTAAGTCTGTCTTTCAAAAGTCTATATATTTTTTACTTGCGTATATTTTCTTATCATTTTATATAGGTATATTGATTTGTGAAAAAAATTAAGAAATATTTATACAAACGCGACTTTTCCTAAAATATTCTTAAAAAAAAAGTTAAAGGAAATATTTTACATATACGAGTACTCGTATGTATATTTAATTTCACGTATTTACGCCTTAACTATCGAAAGAGAAATAATTTAACGAATTATTTTTAGTATTACTTTCGTATTTTGAATCTCATTCAATACATTTATATTTTATGTAAATACGACTTAAACATACACGATGACTTTATTATTCTGAAAAATGAGGTCACATTGAAATACTTAGTTATCAATTATGCTATAAAAAAATCCTTAATTAACTAAAAATATCAAAGAAAAACAAATTACTTTACAAAAACAATATATTTACAAAAATATTTCATCAACAAGTTTCTTATCAATGACTCTATGTGGTTTGGGTCGGGACTGCTTCTTCCTTCGCCGATAGAGCCGCGCGTTAAGGGGGTAGAGCGCGGGTGAGAGTGCGCATCGCACGTTGAACCACCAGTCACAGGACGCCACGCCTTGAGAGAACACAGTGCCGTTGGGGCAAAGGAACGATGCTTGGCGACCGTCAATGTCACAGTAATGCCAGGCTGGAAATACAATAAAAAGCCTTTAGAGGTGTATTTCATAGCACGTATGTTAGTATTATAAGCCTAGGTGTCTTACGATATACATATAGATAGTCTATTCTACTAAGAATACACTTAAAAGTTAATCTTACAAGTATAAAAGTATTTACTGTGATTGTGATTAAAATATATTTATATTAAAATTTAAACATTGTTTTGTACACTTTAGATTTGTCTTTGTGTTCTGCTACAATAGCTTTAGCACGTAGTAGTATAGTAAAGGCTTTTTAACTTTATTTATTTTCTGACTATTTATTTTCTGACAATGTTCAAAAGATATTAACAAGTTTCACTACCCAAAGTATAAATTGTTATGTTAATATGTTAATATTATGGTAAAGTAGTGTTTCGTAGTATTTAATGATAAAAATTAAATTAAATATGATACATTTATCCTAAAATAAACATAACTTGCACTTTTTAGTATTAAAAATATTCATAAATTTTGCCTTCAACATGCATTTGGTGTCATTTTAAATGTTACAAATAACCGGATATTATCCTTTTACAACATACTAATTGTAAAACCGAGAAAATCTAAGAACTAAGGCACGTAACACACTAACAGCAAACAGTCAACTTCTAATGCAGCAATAAAAAATGCGGAATTATGTGGCAAATATGCAACATGCTCGTATTTGTCGCGAATTTAACACATCTACCTTTTTACAAAACGTTTACTTTCTGATTACTTCATTATAACTATAAAATAGTTATTCTTTATATTACGAAATAATATTTTGTACTAACATTGCCATAAAATAAACATAAAATTTAACGCTTAACTCTTCCTCATAATGAAGATACTCGTTTAGCAATAATGTCATTCGTTCTTCTGTCGTTTCCTTGGATCTATTCTATATAAATATAAATTTATTTTTATTCACTTTTAATAATTCGAGATAATATTCCAAAATCAGGAAATATATCTCTTATTGAAAATATTAAAATATCAATAACGTAAATTATGTATTCAAATTAAAACGCTCTGCTTGGCTTGAATACTGCTTGAACAGTTCACTGTTGGAATAAAATAAGGCTTCATGCCTTTAACATTATAAATGATCCCTTATATTGTTTTGTTCAACTATATAATTGCATTTTTTGTATGTAAATCCATTAAATTCCGAAAGGATCTCACGATATCGACCTAATGCTTTATGATTAATGCTTCCGTGATTCTTTGCAATAATTAGATAACCTTATGGCACAAAGGCCATCCCACATCCTAATCATCTTAAAGTACGCAAGGTCTTAGACCAAATACGGCATGTTTTAAAAAGGTTTCTTATACAATGGATCAAGTCCTACACTTTTTAATGCCTCAATAAAATTATTTATTTATATGATTGAAATACTTGATCTTTACATATAATCAGGGCTTGGAACCTATTTTAAAAAACTATTTAAAAAAAACAGGTTATAGTATAATGAGTAATATAATGGTTAACTCATCGCTCGTTCTTTAACCGGTTAATGAACGAGCTTAGTAACCCGAAATAATAATGGTTAACGGTATTATTCTTAGAGAAAGGTTGGATTTCGGTTTTAATACTGATAATACCGAAATAAGCCCGTTAATTCATTCATAAGTAAGAAAAGTACATGTGTCCTTCTAGTAAACCATTCACCATTAGCAAAGACGCGCCAAATGTAAACGCATAAAAACTCATTTTAACCAGTTAATTTTGGTCATGGAATCTAAATGCGTCGAAAACCGTTTTCCCGGGTTTAACCGGTTAAAGAACGTAACCGAAACCTTAAACCGAAAAGTCTGTCGGTTAGGCGTCAATGACCAAAACCAGTTTCAAAATTAAACGGGTTTCGAGCCCGGCATATTACATTTGTTTTTTTTTTGGATACAATTTATACATTTTTTTTCTTTTTTACTATGTAGTAGGTACTTTACCTAATTACCCCATCGAATTCCTGTCGATCTTCTTGATTATCTTGTTAAAGTGATGATCTAGTTAATACCGTTTAGCCGTTTCAGATATTAATTTAGGCAACTATCAGAAAAAAAATCGTATTTGATGATCCTACATATTATGTTATAATTAAGATAAATTAATTAGTATTATATGTTTCACATGGAAAATTGTCATGACCGTTGGCATTATACTTTGTTTTAAAATACGAGTATATGAACTACTTCTATATGATTAATATGTCAAGGTTAATCGTTAATTATTTTTTTAATGATCTGACCCGCATCAATTTATCATCCGGGCCAAAGAATAATTTGCTCATACCAGTTATCATTATAACAAAACTAGCCAGAATAACATTTAAAATTGTTTATATTCGCTATAACATATATACCTTTTAAACATACAAATAATGTTTTTAATTTGTCTACATTTGTTTTGTTTTGAAATATAAGCAATCCTAATATAACACTTACTACGATCTTTCGTGATATGTAATTTGTGCTTTGTTTTATAAGACATATACGAGTATATAGTTAAGAAAATTGTTGTATTGTACCTTGGCAACGTGTTTCCATATCCGCAAAGAAGCCCGGATAAGCTTGCTCATCACAGTAGAAATTTGTATATGGAACAGCTCCTAAAATTGGGTAATCGGTACCTGGTTTTCCTGAAATAAACAATATTTTATTTTTAAACAAATTATTTAATATAAATCTTTACAGAACTTATTTATTAACTTCAATCATTGTTACTTATTATATACATAAATAAGATATACATCTATTATACATATACATATTTAAGAGTTACGTGCGAATTTTAAAATTATTTCTAGAGATGTTGAGAAAATAGCTGAGACAGACAGGCAAAGATTAAGTTATAATTACCAATCGTTACTTGTCACGTTTGTGCTTAAAAATATCAAAGCGTAAGAGAGTGGTGTTATCATTTAAAGATAAAATAAATGTTGATTTGTTAAACACCATAATTAGATATTACGTAATATGTACGAAAATGGTTTTTTTTACATACATTCGATTATCCGAATGCCTACCGACAACAATTAGTCCGGATAATCGAGTTTCTACTGTATTTGTTTTTCCAAGCATCATGCCCGGTATTGTTAACGGAAACAATTTATTCGAATGTCGTTTTGTTGTTAATAGTAAAATCATGCCATTTAGCATATATCTAAAATTGTTTGACCTTATCACGAAAAAAATATTTGTTTTGACATAACCTTCATAGCGTAATAATTTGTATAATAAGAAATTTGATTCTTATATTTTAACATAGTCATTCCTCAAGTCTTCTCACACAATATATTAACTTATATTTCCAATTTGAAACTGCATCGACCCTTGAAAAGCATGCGCTATAGAATATCATTAAAAAGGAGTACATACTTATTTTGATCCGGTCTCATAAAAGCAAAACAAAAAACGAGAACACAATAATAGAGCGCGTTGAAATCTTTTGTAAGAAATATATTTCGACTTACGCCAGCTAGCATACCTGAATCACAAAATGTAATTACAATATTAAGGGCTGATATTTCAATAGAAAATAGTATTCGTTCTTGTTTCTTTAAGAAAATGAAAGTCATCTTTGTATACAATATTTAATTTATATATGCGATGCGCTCTTTCATTCATTTATCAATTACCTATGATATATAATTAGTAGAAAATCGTTCAACAGGCATAAACAAAATATTATATTCATTTATATTTATACATGAAACTTTAGTTATATATTAAAAGATGGTCAAATAGAGTAATCCTTGTACAGACGCTGTTTGACGGTGTTCTGTATTCATTAACTTATTCTTAGTAAAATATATTTTCGTCAAAAATACTATTTAAATGTTATTCCACATAAGTCATAAGCCTATTTAGCCTATAAATTAGTTTTATAATATGTAAATCATTTTATAATATCTTCCAAAATTCTATCCTAGTTATAAGATTATAATTTGCTTAATTTACACATTTTCCTGACTGAGATCTTATACATAATAGCTTGGAAGTAGTTATCTCAACGATAAGGAAAGTTCTTCAAAGAACTACTTTCACCTTACGGACCGATAAAATACTTACTATTGGTTCTCTTGGCTTCTACTCACGTTGCTTGTTTTAAAATTGTGATATATCCTGCCGATTTCGTTTAGTAAAATAAAATAGTATATTTAAATTGGAAAATAATTTCAACAATGATTCGAAATTGTACGTCATTAAGTCTTACCAATAACTATGTTAAACAATATTATACGAATTCTTAGGTATAATTTATGTTGCATGTCATAGATACATACAATTTATTAAAGCTCATTGGATATGAAATCGAGTTACATCAGTTGGGACTGCGAGTGTTCACCGTTATTCTCGCAAGACTAGCCTGCAGCTATTCTTTCGCCTTTGACCCTCGCTAACTACCAGCGATTCCACTCTGAATAACGCGGAAAATGTTATTCTCTAACCTAAATACATTAAAATTTATAAAATGCAAAAACTAAATGTGTACTTTAAACAAAATGTATTATATGACAAATACGTTTCGTTTATTAAGGACTACCCGATTTTTTAAATACATATTATCTCAGTGTATGCAATACCGGAATTATATAATAGTCGAAACCTACAAGGATTTATTACACAATACTTATTTACAGCTAGATGATTCAATTGCCCGATCTATTAGTGAACTTGTGGGAATTCTAAGGCATACTTTAACCTTTCATTAATATCATGTAGAAGCAATTTCAAAGTATACTCCCTACTAAACTTTTTAAAATTAAAAAGAAATCTTTAAAGGTTTACAGATAATTAAAAATGTAGCTGTTTTAAATTATAAAAGCATAATTAGTTTTACAGCTCCTTTTTTTTTTTTTTTTTTTTTTTTTTTTTTTTTTTTTTTTTTTTTTTTTTTTTTTTTTTTTATGTCGGGAAATGCATTTACGCATACCACCTGATCCTCCAGGTGGTGATGTGGGGCTCACCGGCTATAAGAGCCGGTACTACCCACTAAAACCCGACATTCCCCTCCCCTCCGCCTTAATGGGACGCCGCAGGATCGCTTGCGCATAACTACTACGGCGCCCCGGCGGCAGGTCTGCCAACGGCTGACCACCACACCGATGGGGCTGCTCCACAGTCAACTCTGCTACACCAGAGAGGTACCCGGAGCAGCTCCATAAAACCAAACCTCGGCCCACCGAAGTGGGCCACCTCCAATCGGCTGCAGAGGACAGGGAGAGCGGCAACGAAACACCGACACTCCTCTTCCCCTGCAGCCCCACCGCGTCCGCCATCAAACGGTGGCGGCCCCGTCTAGGCCGCGGAAGGTAGGGAGAACGGCGCACCGAAATACCGGCACTCCTTTCCCGCCGCGGCCTACCCCTCCGCCGGATGCGAGCCTGCGACCAGTCTCGCAACCGGCACCCATCATCCGGTTGTGGAACCAAGCGGTCCCACCACCGGTGGCCGCAACGTCTTCGGCTCGAGGCCTAGACGAGCGGCCCCATCCAAGCCATTTGGTCCGCGCCGGATTTCTCCGGTACCACCCGCCGCCCTAAGCGGGTGGCATTCCCCTATCCGCCACCTGGGGACGCGCCCGGTAGGAGTTGGCTTCTCCCCCGGGTAGTTTTACAGCTCCTAAGCCATGATAATATTATGTATAATGTACTTATAAGATTGTGTACATATTATTAAGCCATCGTTATTCAAATTAAATAATTTATTTATTATTTATTTGTTTTGATTTATAATATCAGTTTATTAAAACATTTATAAAAATTTCTGAAGCAATTGATCATACAAATGTGTCACTTTTTAGTTATTATTTTGTAAATAAACCATAAAATACTACTGATTCTTTACGAACACTATGAAAATAATATGAGAAGTAATATATAATATACTTATTATGTTAACCTTATTATATAAATACAATGTGAACTTTGAAAACGTGTTACTACTATAATTATTAATTAAAGTATTAATTAATTTAACATTTATCTACTTGCTCTCACGGTAGTAAAGAATTTCTCTTCGACTATATAATATACGAAGTCGATTCACCACAAGACGGTATTGTTTTCGTAACGATATGGATTGCAATCTCTCTGGGCTTTGGTAATATGTGGCTAATGATCGAAACAACAAGTATCAATATTACATAACTCTATTTTTTTATACGTCGTATAATATATTCACGTTATATTTCCCATTCAGAAGGTAGAGAGAATCCAATCAGTTATTAAATTTCGTCACACTTACGAGGCCGCTTCCCTTTTTCAATTTCGATCTTCTTCATACCAAACAATATGTTTTTTTTTTGTTTAAGAATACAAAAATAAGAGTAAAGGTCATGAGTTACGCTTACTAAGCATTAGGCATTGCAAACATTACACATGGCCAATAAAGATAGTCATTTGCAGTTTTTACTTAAAACTTTTATTTTTTATCGTATAAAGAGTAAAGACCGTAGATGTTCTTTCTTTCACTGTTTTAATCTAAGGCGTACTTTGACAACTAATACGCTCAACAGATGATGAGGTGAGGAAGGAAACAGAGCATAAAAAGGTGTTCTAAAATATTAAGCAAAAAACGAGTTTTCAAAATAATAGTAACTTGACCGATGCACAGATGGGATGAAACTTAAACAAAAAAACCGACAAAGCGTAAGGTGAGCGAGACCTGACACAGACAAGGTCGCATACAACACGCTTATGTAATAATTTACGATAAGACGAGTCACCAAAATTGATGTATGCTTTATAATTTAAACCATTGACATTGAAAACAGTGGGATGTTGATGGTTTACCTACCTGTAGTTATTTTTGTCACCTATAGTCTGTAAGGTTCATGCCTCTGCTTGCATTTTCCTATCATTATAATATTATTAAAGTGTTCCTTATTTCAGTAAAAGAAAAATACTTGTAGTAAAAGAAACACACTTGTAATAAAATAAAATAATATTGAAATCAAAAGAATATTGCAAACATACATAAACCTACTAGTACGCTTTTGACCTTGTCGTTCATCCATAGAAGATTGCGAAATAATTCATTTGGTAGACAAGCAGCATACATATAATATTTTCTTAAATTTCTATTTCAGCTTATTAAGATAATTTGATTTAATATACATATGTATGCTTTTAATAGTGGTACCACAAGGCGCAGCCATCTTCTAGATTACTGGATTAATGATGGTTTATACCTTTTTTCATGGGACGTAAATAGGATTCGTACCCCAATATTCAATATATATTTATCATAAAAACATTTAACGTAAAAATAATATATATAAAAATAAAATATGCATATTATAAAATACTTAACATTGTATGATGAACGACAAACACTCAGTAGAATAAACAGATGTGAAATAATTCTTTTACTATATTGTACAACAAGTACTAAGTAGATAAACACTTTAAAAGTAAAAACGACTACTTCGAAACTAATAATAGCAGCAGCAGGTATGAAACATCTTCAATGCTAAAGGCTTGTTTGACTGGATTTCAAATGAGCAACACTATAACGTAAACACTATATTTGTGAAGATTTGGGGTGTACAAAAACTTATGTAGGCAACGTTAGAATTTAAAATCTATCTGGGTTATTCCAAACTCCTACACGTGTGTTGTTGTCAGATTTGCGT